TCATTCAATTTTTACTTGACTTTAATTTGGGGGTGGAAACCTTCTATAGTATAACTAACTTGGAAGAGCTCTAAATTGGCTGTTACTTTGTCTGCTCAAGCCAGTGTGAAAGCAAGGAAATTCCAAGCAATTCCACAGCATGTTAATAGGCAGAGATGTGCATAATATGTAGATCACAGATGTAAATTTAGCTTATGAGAGATGGAGCAAACTTCTATGCTGTCTCTCTTGATAATAGCAACAACAACACAAATTGCAGGCAAGCCCTGTTTTATGAACACAAGTGTGGCTGCCTTCCCCCCCCCCCCCGGGTTAGAACTGCAAAATAAATTCGATTTATGGTGTCATTGGGTCAGCATAAAAACTAGCCATAAAATCTGGTAGTAATTATAAGAATGCTTTGTGTTTGCATGTTCCATGGGCAGGATTGGGATGGTGTTGCTCATACAGTGTTTGGTTTATATCAGAGTTAAGTAGACGTGCCACTGCACATATATGGGGTTGGAGTCCCACCAGCTTTTTCTTTTTGGCTTAACCTTGCCCCGTTTCCCAACTTTCTACAGCCTCCAACCCACATGGCTTTAGTCAATACAAGTCTTATCATTGCCAGTAATAGCCTCTTTGGTGGTCAGATAAGATTCCCTCCTCCCACCCAGTGGAAAAGCTAGTTATCTACTTAGGATTCCCATTCCCCAGTTGGGGGAAACCCCACCCCCAAACAGCAATGTTGCAACGCAACATCCCCGACACAATAATGGCATGCAGAAGTGACGTCATCACATTGGAGCATCACATGGTGACACTCTGGTTTTTGGGGAAAAACTATGGTTTGACCCTGATTTTATCATAGAGGTTTCCCTCAAACCAGAGTGTCACTATGCAGCGTCCCCAGCATGATGGCATCACTTCCACATGACATCCTCGCATTGGGGATGGAGCCCCGCCCCACTCCTGGAAGGTTCCCTCCCGCCAGTGCATCATGCAGCCTTGGCAGCCCTAGATCTACTTGACCAACACAGCCCGGCAGAGCACATTCTTCAGTGGCAGATAGCATTTCAGATTCCATAACATGAGGATCAAATGCCCTTATTGTGATCACACTGACAGCTGGGATAACGAGGAGCAATTTCTATGAAACTAGCCTGGCAAGGAAGCACCTTAAACAGCATATGCTAGATAAGAGGATTTCAACTTTTGAAAGACCTTGTTTTTGGCAAATTCTCAGAAGTGACTGTAGCATAATGCATCATATCTCCAGGTTTTCTGAGAATGTTTTTAAAAAAAAAAAAAAAATCTGGATAAATGAGAAGATGTAATGTATGGGAGTTGGTCACTTCATCATACCTCTTGTAATTGGAATTTGGCTTTAGAAAGATCAACTATCTGCTACAGTCTTCCAAAAGACCAGTTCCCCATAGTTTAAATAAAGCAGTAACGTGGAACAGTACTGTGAAAAGTTGACAGTGGCTATTGCGAAGGAAATAAACATCATGGAACCGGCCCTCCTGCATGCCTTGGAAAATTTCAGTGTGAAAAGTTCTTTGAACTCTTGGTAGCCCCGCTGAGAAATTGGAATGGCACTCTATTTGTCCAGTCAAATGAGATTTGTTCAACAATGCAAAAATGACTAGGGTACAGCTTGCATTTCTCAACACTTGAAACTAAACCAACCCTCTCCTGAAGCCACTTGGTGCATTTTGTTCCTGAATTAATGGGAGAACAAGTGCTCCAGTGTACTTAATGCCCGTACCAAAGGGGAAGGGCTGGAAGATGTTGTCTAGCAAATAGAACAATTTTTAAACCACTGAGGTTTAAATGTCACAACTGGAAAAAGTCAATAGCCCTTTTTGAACTGTGCCAGGGTTATCGTCTTTGTACATGCGGTGAAAGGTAAATTTTAACACTCGAGTCAGTTGGCAGCAGCTGCGTGGCACCTAATCCAGCCACACTTGCATTTCCCCTCTTGTGAAAGACCGGCTCTTACAAAAGAGGACCTTTTTTCAGTGGGTTTAAGCTGTCTCAGCCAGTATAGGCATACCAGGAAATGAGGTTTGCAATGGCACTGGGTCACGTATTAATGGGGCAGCCAAGTGATATGGCTGTTGAACAATGTATGTACAGTGCTGCCACCTTCTGCTCTGGACGGGCACAAGTCTATTTCAGCTGTTTTGAAAAGACAGTATTTGTTTAACCAGGCTCTGGTTCTGTGAATTGTTGGAAGCAGGTTGTTGATTGAACACCTTGTGCCATAATAGGGAACAAAACTATTTACTCCTGATTCCAGTTTGTGAAAACTTGGGGGAGGTGCTGGAGTTCAGCGTTAAGGATTTGGGTTCCGTCACTGACATTTCCAGTTAAAAACAGAGGTATTGGGAAAGAACTCTCCCTGCCTGGAACCCTAGAGAGTTGGAGTTAGACGGACCAGTGGTATAAGGAGAGTTCATCTTTTGCTTTCTTCCAGAGCTAGCTGAATCACAAGCCACTTAAATTTCTTATTCCCATAGAACTGTCCTCTTTGTCCATGTTAAAATCCAATCCTGCCCTCTCCAGCATCGTGAACACATGAAGCTGCCTTATACTGAAGCAGATCATTGGTCTACCAAGGTCAATATTGTCTACTCTGATTGGATCTCAGGTGGAAGTCTATCATTGTACCACTTGATCCTTTTACCTGGAGGTCCTGGGGATTGAACCTAGGTTCTTCTGCATTGCCAGACAGATGCTCTAACACTGAGCCACAGCCCTTTGTCCGTACTGTGGACAATTAAGCCCTTGAGCTCTTGCAGTGGCAGCAGGGCAGCAGCCTACAACTTGGGCTTCACTTCCCTTTACAAAGCCACCAACCCTTTTACTAAAGCTGGAGAGTGAGCAGGGTCGAATGTCCATGGATCAGCACCGGTAACAGAGTGTCAGGAATGCATCCTTTGCCCAGCTTCCGTTGTGAAATACAAGACTGAGCTGTTAACACTTAGAATTCTCATTTCTCTGTTTTCCCCTGGCTAAAAAGGATGGCTTAATAAGGAGCATACTGTCTTTTGACGCACGGAGGTTGGTGGGGACACGTACACCTGGTTTCTGGCTCATTAGTACTTTGCCTGACTGATAACTAGAAAGTACAAGGGCAGCTGTGAGTCTCAGCAGAATTTCCACATGCTGGCAAGGCAGAGAGGGACCATGGTGTAACACCAGAGCAGGCTGTGCATGAGAACTGGTAGGGAATGTATTAATCTAGGACAGTTCTCGCTGGTGTACTCTCCAAAGAAGAAAGCTGATATGTCTAGATCGGGGGGGGGGGGGAGCGTTTCTTGTTATGCCATCCTTAGGACCAACATTGCACAGAACAGAGCAGTTCTACACGACCTTGATAGACTTGTTTTATCCTAATCTGTGTTCCTTTCTGCCTGCAACTGACTGTTTGGTCTTCTTGCCTCTCTTCCCACTCCAAAATCTTGTCACTTGAAATATGCAGAAGGCTGAATTGGTGTATCTGTTCTTGAATGTACAGGGGAAAATAATATGAATTTTGTACTTCTCTTTTTTTTTCTTCCCCAGAGGTCATGAGTTTTTAGTAGACTTGAATAGTATGAAGCTCTGTGATACAACGGAATTTGACCAGTTGAGGAGACTATCTACACCTTTGTGTACCAATGCCAACTCCAACTCCAACTATTATACAGTCTGGAAATACTTCTGCAGGGATCATTTTGGCTGGAGAGAATATTCAGAGGTAGTTTGGTTTGCAGTTTATTTCTTGAATGGTTTCCCCACCTCTGGGGTGTGGTGGTGGTGGTGGAAAATGCCATCAAATCACAGCTGACTTATGGCGACCCCGTAGGGTTTTCAAGGCAAAGAGATGTTCAGAGGTGGGTTGGCATTGCCTGCCTCCGCATCATGACCCTGGTATTCCTTGGAGGTCTCCCATCTAACTGCTAGCCAGGGCTGACCCTGCTTAACTTCCGAGACGTGACGAGATTGGCCTAGCCTGGGTTATCCAGGTCAGGGCTGTGTGTGATGCTGGGGGACACCTAAATAGGAAACCTTAGTCCAAATGTCCATCTCAACATGCCTCCCACTGGGTAATGTTAGTTGGGTCCCTTGTTAATGGGCCTAAACCACCTTGCAAAGTTGTGGTGAGGATGAATGGAAAAGACTGATCATAAAGCGCTTTGTACATTGAAAAGTGCCATAGGAGAGTGTGTTCCCTCCTCACCCACTGTTCCTACTTTACAAATAAACTCGAGGGCTGCAGTTAAAGACATTGCTGATTATTTCCAATGAGTGTATAAACAGCAGTCTGTTATTCCTCTCTGCAGTCATCACACACTCTTCTCGTCTCCACCCATTTTCTCTCTGAATTTCTTCTCCATTTGGATCATTCCTCCTTCCAGTTCTGCTTCCCCAGTCTGATACCTTCACAGACCTCTGCTGTCTCCTTTCTTAAACCTCCCCTTGCCTAACCTTCCCCTCTAGGACTTTAGCAGGTGTACCAATGGCTGCCAGAAGGCCTTCTGAGCCAATCGCTGCCAGAGCTTTCATGGTCTCTACTAAATCCCACAGTGTATTACAATATGAAATGCTAAATGGAAGAAATTGTGGCAAAAACCACATAAGCCTAAAAAGTGTGTCCATAGAAACAAGGCGTTGCACTTGTACATAGATGGCACTTAAAGAAAACATACATTAATGATGGAAGTTGATGTTTCACGAAAGATGTGAATATATATGTAGTCTGTGGGGAGGTGGGATTGTATTTAGCATTGGGAAGCTGAAGCCTAGAAAGAACTCTTAATCCGTTTTTGTTAATTGATTCCAGGTTCATTTGAGGAAAAGCAATTGCAGGCCAGATACTTCCAGGGTTATGTGTAGATCAGGGTCTCATGTTACCTGCAAGGAACCGTAGCAGTAGTTTTACAAGCAGGTCCTACCCAAAGTAGTTGAAAACCAGCCATATTTGCACCAGTCAAACAGATTATTCTTTTTCTTGTTAAAAACAGCCTGTCGTAAGATTGATAGAAGAAGCCAACTTCCGAGGTCTGCCAGAGGTTCGATTTGTTACGTGGCACAACCGTTACATTCTGAACATTAAAGATGGCTTTCAGCAAAATGCGTGTATTCGGAGAGAAATCAAGAAGAGACCTCTCTTTCGCTCCTGCGTCATCCTCATGCCGTACTTGCAGTAAGTAATGAGAGCCAACTGTATCTCATGGGGTGCCTAGTAATTAGGACATGCTGATAACGGTGGTGTGCAGTTCTTTCCTTCCCAGTGACCAAATACGATGCTCATACCAGTTTGTCATGTGACTGTCCTTGGGAGATCTCTTGGATTTATCCAGATGTTAGTTCCATCGTGTTCTTCTGAGGCTGCATATTCAGAACAATGCTTTATCCAACTTCTCTGTAGCCAGCTAGCTCTTCAGTGTTTACAGTGCCTCTGCTCTGGGCCCTATTTTTATTGAAAGAGTTCTCCATTTTTTGCTCCACAGTTAATACAATGGAGTATGCTGCAGCACTCAGAGGTTAAGACACTGAACTGCAGACTGGAAGGCTGGTAGTTCGGCAGTGCGAGACCCTAGTGCCGCATGATCGAGTGAGCTCCCATCTCCGGTCCCAGCTCCTGCCAGCCTAGCAGTTTGAAAGCAAGAAATTGCAAGTAGATAAATAGGTACCACTTCGGTGGGAAGGTAATAGCGTTCCGTGCGCCTTGGCATTTAGTCATGCCGGCCACATGACCGCAGAGGTGTCTTTGGACAGCGCTGGCTCTTTGGCTTGGAAACTGAGATGAGCACCGCAACCCTAGAGTCGGATTTGACTGTTTTTCGAGCAAGGGAAACCTATGCTGTGTAGTATTTGCAAACAACATATGGGGAAGATTGTTACCAAAGGCGACCTAAATAATGCAATACTTCTGGATCTGGAATGCCGTAGGAGGGCCTTTTGTGTTTGTGTAATTGAGCCAGCACAGCTGGAAATATCAAAATCCTGTACTTAGGACCATAGTGTCCTCTTACCTGACACCACTAAGGAGGATTCCAGGCCTTTTATGTCAGGGCCAGAACACCCATTGTCCCCTTAACAACAGGGCTGCCAGGGAGGATGCTAGGCCAGGGTCCATTGCAATGCCATAATGATATTGCCGCCCTGATCTGGATGGCCCAGGCTAGCTTGATCTCATCAGATCTCGGAAGCTAAGCAGGGTCGGCCCTGGTTAGTACTTGGATGGGAGACCGCCAAGGAAGTCCAGGGTCGCTATGCAGAGGCAGGCAATGGAGCAAACCACCTCTCTTAGTCTCTGACCTTGAAAATCCTAAGTCAGCTGGGTCTTGATGGCACTTGGTACCACCAGTGACATTGCAAGCTAAGAGAGGTGGCCTTTTAAAAAATTGCCATCAAGTGAAAAGAGGATCCCTCTCCCCCACTCCCCTATGGAAGTGTATGTAGAAAAGCAAAAATTAGCAACGTAGGCCTAGTTATTTAATGCCCAAGAAATTGGGAGCAATTGGACTTTTCCTCCATCGCTGCCCACTCAGTTCCAGCAGGCTCCCTCCACTTTCAAAGGTGGCTTTGTACCATGCAGGGGAGAATTGCCTTGGCTTTGCTGCCGACTGAGGCAGGGGAAGACCATAAAAATGCAAAGCCATAAATGCTTAAAGTGGGCTTGGGGGCATTCCTTTTACTTGGAAAGAGCAGTTGCATTGTGTGTGTGAGTTTGCATGCCCAAATTGCTGAGCGGCCGTTGGGCTGAGTCACTCTCAGTCGTTGCCTCTTATCTCTCATGTTGCTGACTTGCCCCGGGTATGGACAGTCAAGGGTCAGGGTGGTGAGCCGCTTTGCAACAGTCTGATTAACAGGATAATAATGGCAAAAATGTCAACGGCCCCATCAGCACTGGGTAATTTGCCAAGGGAGACTGCCAGACCCTGTTGGGGTTTCTGTGCTTAAAAAGAGGTACTGCCAGTGAAGCTGGTAGTAATTTCCCCCGTTACAGTGCCGCATTGATGGCAAACCACTTCTGCTTCTCACTCGCCTTGAAATCTTCTTGTTGAGGTCACCATGAATCAGTTGTTGTGACTTGATGACACGTCCATACATACGGTCTGCTGCTGCCAGTTCACACACCTTTCACACAGTCTTTCCCACTGGATTGAACAGAGATTTGGGAACTTTTCTCTTTCTTCTATTTGGGACTTTTATGTTAATTGTTGAGGGAAAATAATTGACTTCACAGCAATTCCAGGTATTAACTAGCCTAGGATAACTAGTGAACAGTCTGTGTTTTTTAAAATTAAATTTGTATGTTACATAGTTTCATGTCACCCGATACTTTCTGCGTTTCATGGCCCCTTGACCCTGATTTTTCCCTATCAGTCAGAGTAGACAACAGGGGCCTTGATTGATCAGCTGCCTATCCCTGTAAAAGGCAGCTCCATGTATGTACAGGGATGGGTCGGGTTTAATGGAGCTAATCATTGCTGAGAGTCAGGTCTCCCTTAGCTTGAAACCCGGCTGCAGATGTAAAAAGGTTTACGGTATTATTTTTTTGGGGGGGGGGGGGGGGGGATTTTGGAAAAAACTGAGACCTACAATACTTTTCTAAAAGCAATCATTTATATACTAGCATAGAATTACACTGTCATTTATGAAATTTAAGCATATAAATGCCTTAGCTTTCTACAAGCAAAATTTCAAATATACCCAGTATTTGATGGAGAAAGCTCCAAACTGGTGTACTGTACATTACCACCGTACATGTATTAGTTTTTCTCATCTGTAAAGGGGGAGGAGATGAAATTAGAGTACACTGTAGTAAACACAATAGTGCGGTATTTGAACAGAAACTGTTCCAATAGAAATAAATTGGCATCTTCTAAATACAGTACAAATGAATGTTCAAGTGATTTTTTTGTCATTGATTCCTTCCTCTTCCTCTCTGCTCCTCCCTCCACCATTTTTCACCAACCTAGGACCCTCGGTGGAAACCCTTCCATCCCTCCACCATCCACAGAGGCCATCTCCTCGCAAGTCTTATCTCCAGCTGCTCTTACCTCTCCAAACTTCTATCCCGAAACGTGGATTAACATGGATCCAGTTCAAGACTTCATTCAAGTGCCTGTCTCGAAGGAGGACAAAAGCTACAGAACCATTTATAATCTCTTTCATAAGACTGTGCCGGAGACCAAATATAGAATTTTGAAAATACTGCGAGTTCAAAACCAGTTTTTGTGGGAGAAATACAAGAGGTGAGCCAACATAAATGCCAACGTTATTAACATCATCTTTTTTTCTTCAGGGGAGGAAAGAGATGGTGGGGGTCCAGCTGGGGAAATGTGACTGTAACACAAGGCATACGCCTGAGTGGGCCCTTTTCTCAGACATGTCATGTTCTTGCATCCAGTGACACCTAATTTTTTGTGGAAACTTATGTTTTGTGTTGGCTCATGGCAAAGAAATATTGGAACAAGCTCAGAACATCCTGTAAGAATGCAAAGAACACATAAGTTCTGTTAATGATTCCCCTCACTTATTATTTATTTGTTTAAAACATTTGTATGCCATCTGTTTGCCCAATTAGGGCCGTCAGTTAAAAACACATTAAAATACACTTAAAAAACAATCCATCAACCAGAAATTAAAATATACTGGAATGCCAAATGAAACAAATGATGGAAGACAATGATGGGGTGAGGACAGAGGGAAAGGAATTCTATGGTTTTGGTGCCACATCGGAGAAGGCCCTTTTTTTGAGTCATCACCCATCTAGCCTCAGATGACTGGAGTCCCCCAAAATCTGCACTGCTCTGGTAGAGTAATGTGAGATTTAAAAAAAAAATGGCCACCGAGTTGCATCTGGCCTATTGCGACCCAATAGGGTTTTTAAGGCAAGAAGTGTCCAGAGGTGGTTTGCCGTTGCCTGCCTCCACGTCACAACTCTGGTATTCCTTGGAGGTCTCCCATCCAAAAACTGGCCAGGGCCAACCCTGCTTAGCTTCTGAGATCTGACGAGATCAGGCTAGCCTGGATGGTCCTTAAGGTTTCCTGATAAGATGTCCTGTTGTCCGACAAGTCCTACTGACTAGCTTCCTTCAACTGAGTCTGCAGTCTTGAAAAACTATATCCCAGTAATAAATAGACTTAATAGACCAGCCAAAGTGCTGAGCAGGGCAACTGACGGGCCATGGAGGGGCTGTGACTCAGTGGTAGAGCCTCTGCATGGCGTGCAGAAGGTGCCAGGTTCAATCCCTGGCATCTCCAGTTAAAGGGAGCAGGTTGTAGGTGATGAGAAAGACTCTTACCGGAGACCCTGGAGAGCCACTGCTCGTCTTGAGTAGATAATGCCAGCTCAGATGGACTGACGGTCTGATTCCCTATAAGGTAGCCTCATGTGTTTTATGTGTACCACCAGTCCTGCTCAACAAGAGTTTGTTTTGGGGGATGTAACCTGTTTTTGTTTTGGTATTTTTCTTTCCAGAAAAAAAGAATACATGTCTAAAAAAATGACAGGACTTGACAGGATAATGAATGAGAGACATTTATTCCATGGGACTTCCCAGGACGTCGTTGATGGGATTTGCAAACACAATTTCGACCCGCGGGTGTGTGGGAAACATGCCACCATGTTCGGGCAAGGCAGTTACTTCGCCCGGAAGGCCAGCTACTCACATAACTTCTCCAAGCGCTCGCCCAAAGGGATCCATTACATGTTTCTGGCTAAAGTACTGACTGGGAAATACACAGTGGGCAACCATACCATGAGGAGACCCCCGCCCGTAAACCCAGGCAGCATCACGAGCGACCTGTATGACTCTTGTGTGGACAATTACTTTGAGCCTCAGATCTTTGTCATTTTTAATGACGACCAGAGCTACCCCTATTTTGTGATCCAGTATGAAGAAGTTAGTAACTCTGTTGTCATCTGACAGTATTTCACGTGGGTAAATTATTCGTCGTGACAAACTGAAGCCTGGTATTTGTAGGACAGACTGTGTTGCAGGAAGATTGGGGGGGGGGGTTTGTAAAACTTTTTAATAAAAGTGTTTGGGAGCAGATTTTAAAAAATGAAAAGACCAATTGTGCACTTGCTATTTTATGTGCAGATTGTAAATATTTTCCATTGTTTATAGCTGAGAAAAGCCTGTGCCTTTTGTTATAAACACTATTTATGTTAGTAAACTAAATGTTTTAAAAAATCAGTTTGATCCAGTGTTTCTTTGGATGTTTGTAGCTGGGTTGCCTGAATACCGAGATTTGCTTCTTTCTAGGGTTTGCCGATCATTTCTCAGCCTCAGCTGCTCTGCTGGTGTAGGCATGGGTTAATACTTTTAATCCATATGCAAAAGGGCCACCTGTTGATTTGGATAGGTAAAGTTGGAAAAGCATCATTCTGGGTTTTCCCCTGGTCACTGGGCAACTCTACATCATTCACTGGGTTCTGTGTGTCCCTAAAGAGTCTGCATTGATACTCCTTTCATAGGCAGGGGAACCACTCGTGGTGAAAATACTCTGAAAAAAACAGCCTTTCCCAGCAAACCAAGCTCAGACCAGAAATGTTCTTCTGCTCCCTTGAAGCTGGCTCCAAGCCACTGTTCTCCTTTACCTTCTTCCTGATGCAGTGATGCTCGTTTTCGGGGCTGGGGCCTGGTAATTCATTTTCCCACCCTTGGGGAACTGAGGAGTAGGAGAAAGAATGGCACACAGTATGTGGAAGACCACAAACATTTCCCCTAATCTCTATGGTGAAGACCACAGATACTAGAATATTCGGCCTAGAGTGTCATCTAGAAGAGACACCATGTCCTCCTAGGCTTGCCGCTCTTCTTTTTTTTCCAAGTGGCACCTGGATATCTCCCACTATTACAGTTGATCTCCAGACAACTAAGATCAGTTTCCCTGGGGAAAATGACTGCTTCAGAGGGTAGAGTCTATGGCATTACGCCCTGCTGAGGTCATTTCCCTCCCCAAAACCTGGCCTTTTCAGGCTCCACCCCCCCCCCCTAAATCTCTAGGTATTTCCCAACCCAGAACTGGCAACCCTGCATCCTCCCCAAACTCTGCCCACCCCATGCATCACCCCCAGTATCTCCCCACATTTCCAGAGGCAGTGTTGGGAACTCTGATGATACTTGTGTTCGTGAATTGCAGCAAATACAGTGATAGAATGAACAAGTGGCTGCTGGCTGCATTTGAAAAACCATATTCCAGTGCCCGGCCTTGTCAATGCAGGAAAGGGGGGGAAGTGTAAAGCCTTCTTTTATCTGGAAGAGTCTGGTAACAGGAGGGTAGAGAAGTTCCCATGCTGCCTTGGGTTTAAACTTCTGCTTTTTGTTTGGAATATAATCTTGGGCTTGTGTGTATGACGCAGGCAACAGCCGAGAGGCACTGGCCAAGAGCCAAAGGCAATAAAATCACATGCTAGGAGAAAGACATTTACACTGAGAAGTGTTCCCTATTTGGCCCTTAAGCTGTTAAAATGCCAGCTTGCGGTTGCTTGCATTGGTTGGGAAATCAAACTTTGGGGAACTGCTGTTCGCAGACTTCTGATAGTGAGAACCCGAGTCCAGGAATGAGGAATCAAGGGCACAGCTTGCACACATGAGGAATGTACTGCATGCCAAGGAAAATGGGTGTTTCTTTAATTAGGCTTTTTCCCACTGGTTGTCCACATACTCCAGTTGTATCTCAGCAAAATGGGACTAACTTAGGCTTTTTGCTGTTATGAGTAATTTCAGAATTATATTTATTGCACGGAAATGTGATGTTATATGCAGCTAAAATGCAAATTCAGTACGTGCCTTATTGAAAATATGTAACAAAGTTGATTGGGGGACCTTTACCAGATCTGTAATGAATGCCATACAAGTCTTTGCAGCAAACAGACTATTGCTACACCTTCTATTGAGGACACTAGATCTTGGAATGGGAACTCGTTCATTGTCCAGGTTCAAGCTGATAACTTTAAAAATACAGAGAGTTGAAAATATGGGGTAGCATTTAGCTGCCTTCCTCATTCTAAAAGTATTTATTGGGCTCTTGTTCCTCCTGGCTGGTTGATAATATTCCTAGTATTGCAAAAGGAGGCAGCTTGTGCAGCTGGTCAGCATTGTGGAAGCTAGCGCTTATTTTATTTTTATTCAATTTGTCAGTTGCTCTTCCCTGCAATCAGGGCGGTTTACATCAGAAATAAATACAATATAATTGAGTTAAAACAACATTAAAATACTAATTCCAAGATGACGGTAATTTCCACCAGCCCCCTGGGTGGAGGGGATATGCAGGAATAAAAAAGGAGTTTAAAGTATGAGAGCACCAGATAGGGTTGCCAAGTACTTACCTCAATCCGGCGGGGGACACATGCTCCCCGGCCGGAACATTTCTCCTTGTAATGCACCATGCCTTCGCCAGGAAATGACACTGGGTGACGCTCTGGCAATGGGGCTGAAAACTCGATGGTACCATCGAGTTTCTGGCCCCATTGCCAGAGTGTCACCCGGCGTCACACGTCTGTTGTCCCCGCAGGAATGATCTTGTGAAGGCATCTTCATCCCCTGCTGAATCACGGTAAGTACTTGGGAAGCCTGGCGCCAGACTGTTCGCTGTCCTCAGCCAAATGCTACGGAAAAGTAGTAAATCCCGTAGAGTCGTGGATGTTCTCCAGCAGAGAGTTCCACCAGGTGAGGGGCCAGGGCCTTAGTTGAGGACAGCTGGATCTCTATTGAGCGAGGGACCATCAGGAGATTCTTATTACTATTTATTTATTTAAATTTACTAGAGCGTAATGCTATTCCAGGGACATATTGGGAGAGGCGGACCCAAAGATATGCGGTTCCTGACCGCTTCTTGCCTTAAAGGTCAAAACCCCATATACCCCAGCTGAATAATGTGCTTCCTCTGTGCTTTAATTAGCCTTTCCACACTGTCTTTGCAGCCTTGCTCCTTCATGGATCAATCCCAGTTCAGCCATGCAGAAAGTTCCATGGCGGCTAATACACAGAAAGCATTTCTCAACCCTTGAGGACTAGTGCACTACATCTAGGGCTGCGGTCAGACGAGCTATTTGATCTGATGTCACCGCTGTTGCTTTGCGGATTTAAAATGGACATTCAGACAGCAACACATGTGTTCTGTTCCCCAGTCGTCGGCCAGCCATTCTCACCCCTCTCTGAATCAGATTTATTTGATACTTGGGAAAGTCCAATCTTTATGATGAAGCTGGCTTCACCCCACATTTCCAGATGTCTAAACTCTCCTGTTGCAATCTCAAGCTGTATGGGAAGTCTGAACCTTCCCTTCCATTTTCACGCCCTTTTTTTAAAGCAGATAGCGATGTGTACATAAGTGCATCTAAAATCGTGGAGCTGTCCAAAGGAGCATTGCGTCCCTTAGGCATTTCTGTGCATGCACAATCAATGAATAATTCTGCATTGTGCTTCAGATGCATGCTTATGCGCATGTGCGAACTACCAGTTCGTTTTTAAGTCGCCCGACCACCCTCTCTATGGCTGCTGCTAATCTGGACAGCAACCACAGGGTGAGCATGCAGTGAAGCAGGTTACTGGTGGATGTTTGATCGAAATTCTCTGACAAAAAAACCCTGGATCAAATTAGAGGTACCATCACAGCTCGGAAAGTACGCCATCTGACCGTAGCCTAGGTGTAAACTTAGCTGTACTGCAGGCTATACCGTGTGCGGAGACCTTAGCAGCTACATAAGTAGCAATGCAGATGATCTAAGGCAGGGGTGTCAAACATGTGGCCCGGGGACCAGATCAGGCCCCCAGGGGGCTCCTATCAGGCCCGCAGTGGAACTGGCTGTCTTCTGCTTCTTCTTCCAGTTCTGCTGCTGCTGTGTCATCGTGATTTGCAGCTTACAGATACACACCTGAACAGCATACTCAAGATTGCAACAGCACAGACGTTTTGATGCAATAATTCAGAGCAAGAGGTGTCAGTTATCAGACACTGTTAAATAAGCAAAATATTGCAAGAGTGCTGATGTTTTAAGCATGTTTTTTATTTTAAGTAAAAAAAAAAAACCTTTGTGTTTGCGTCCTTTATTAAGTTTGCATCTCCGCTACGTGGCATTACATTTTATGACACACATGGCCCGGCCCAACAAGGTCTCATTTATGTCAGATCCAGCCCTCATAACATGAATTCGACACCCCTGATCTAAGGACTGCTTGCAGTGTGATTCTGGCAATGCAAAAGAATCCACCTGTAGGACTTTGCTCTCACAGAGAAGAGCCAGCATAATGGCTAGAGATCAGAATGTTGGGCTAGGATCTGGGACCACCCAGAACTGAATCTCCACCCTGCCCTAGAAATTTGCTAGGGAACCAGTGTTGCTGAGAGCCCTGGGAAAATATGCCCTGGCCCTTTAATGGAGTGTTAGTCAGCTATTATTTACCAGGTGATGTTATTTACTCCCATGCCCTGAGAAGCTTAACTTGCTACATATTAAGCCGCTATTAAGGAAGAGGACATTTCCCCCCCAAGGCCTCTTGGCAACCCTGGCTCTAGAGGCCAGGAGGTTGTTGTGCTGGCATGCAATTTAGCAAATCACTGGAGAGGCGGCAACTAAATCTTCCTAGCAAATAAGTACATGCAGCAGGGTAGCAGGCTGTCTAAATCAGAAGCTATGCAAACACAAAAGTGCCGTGGGTGGTTTTTACAAGAACATACACGAAGTTGTCTTATGCTGAATCAGTCGTTTGGTCCATCAAGGTCCGTATTGTCTATTCAGACTGGCAGCAGTGCTCCAGGGTCTCAGGAAGAGATCTTTCACATCACTTCCTACGTGACCCATTTAACTGGAGATGCCAGGGATTGAACCTGGGACCTTCTGCATATAAAGCAGATGCTCTTTCACTGAGCCACAGCCCCTCCCTGAAATTAGTCTTGCCTGCTGGTTTCACATTTAAATCTGTCCCAGAAACACAGGGTTGCACTGGAACAGTTAAAGCCTAAACCTTCAAAAACGAGCCATGCTATGCTCTGCACCACTCCTACCCACAGTCTTCACTATGGTTACTCACATGGCAAACTCCCCTAACT